TTTTTTTTTTGAGTCAGTCTCACTCTTTCACCCAGGACTTTGGGAGGCCAAGGTGAGGGGATTGCCTGAGCTCACAGCCTGGACAACTTGGCGAGACCTCATCTCTACAATAAATCAAAAAATTAGCTGGGCATTGTGGCATGCGCCTATAATTCCAGCTATTTGGAAAGCTGAGGCAAAGGATCACCTGGGCTCAGCAGGTCAAGGCTGCAGTGACCGTGAACATGCCACTGCACTCCAGCCAGGGCGACAGAGTGAGACTCTAACTCAAAAAAAAAAATTCCTCACATAAAAATAGACAGGTCTCCAGAAAGTAAATCCTTAGTAAAACATCTTTAAGGAAACATTTTATTCTAAACACCTTATAAAAAAAGATAAAAATCAACATGACCAGGCCACTGGTCAAGTTACATAAACTTAAGTAACTCTAGTGATACTGTAAAACTGTTCCAGAAAACAATCTGACAAAATCTAACAGGAGCTATAAAGCTAGTCAAGTACTTTGACCCAGTGATCTCATTCTGAGGACTATACCCAGAGTAGGAGGAAGAGGAACTAATAGAAATGACAATTATAACAACTACAATAAGAAAATATGAAATAATCTAAGCGGTGAGAGAGTAGATCTAAGTGAACTATTATTACCTAAGCACAATGAAATGTATTTATGTATACATATAAATTTAAATGAGGTAAAAGGTATGTAAGAAATAATACCAATTAAAGTAAATCACAAAATAGTATATGCATTAATCGCAACTCTACATATACATTAATAATACACTGAAAAGAATTCAGAATAAGTGTTTAAAACTCAATAGGCTCTTTTCAAAATAAATTGTAGCAAGTGATGATTTCCTAGCAATTATTTCCAAATGCCTTCTTTACCCAAAGGTCAAGTTAAAAAAAAAAATAAGGTTAGGCAATAATAAAAAAATTATAGTTTAAATATAAGAATAGAAGAAAATATTGAGTGATCAAATTAAGATATTTTATTTGTTATGCTCTTACATACACCTCTTCTTGTTGAGAAATAAATTTTCACGCCAATTTCCCAACTTGATTTTGATGAAACATTTTTTTCACTATATTTAAAATGTTTCTCACATTCTTGTAAATAAAAATGTTACTCACATAATGCTTTGATCAAGATTCACAGCTATGCTTTAGAAGAAAAGCCAGTTAAATGTATACAAACTCTACATCCTTATATATGTAGAAATTTGAATAACTGTTCTAAGACCAACAAAAATACCTTGAATAAATTCACAAATATAACTGTTCTGTTCATAGCCTACAAGCAACCAGCATACAAATAACTGCCTAATCATTGCTCTGAAAAGTTGCTGCCATAGAAGTCATCATAAAAACCAAACAGAGACAAACTGAAGCTTTTAGAGATTCTATCTATTCAGAGTTGAAGGTGAGAAAAAGCTATGAAAAAAGAACCAGTGAAAAGCAAGTTTAAGAGGCTGATCTAAGGGACATGCTCCTGCCCCAAATTCTCACTACTACTTGAATTTTTCCTTATACTTCCTGACACCTGAATGAGGCAAACTATAAATGGAGAGAATGGAGGAAGAAGCAGAACTGAGTTTTCCACTATGGCTGTCTCTCCAGGGTGTATGTTTCTCCCAGAATGCTCCATTTTTCAAAATTATTTATATTCCCTCCCTCCTAATCAAAGTGTTCATTCATTAGCCTCACAAAATATATCTTTTCTCATTTCTCCAAAGGAGTTTACATTCATAAGAACTAATAGTATTTTCTTAAAAATCAACTCAAATGAAATATATTACTTAACATTGGAGAACATGAGAACCTTTTTAAAGTTTTCTTTAAAATAGCATCTATCCATTTTTTAAAATTATTTTTTTGAGTTAGAGTCTCACTCTGTTGCTCAGGTTGGAGTGCAGTGGCACACTCATGGCCACCCAGTGTCGACCGTTGGGCTTAGGCAAGCCTTCTGCGTCAGCCTTCCAAGTAGCCAGAACTACAGGTGCGTGCTACCACGCCCAGCTAATTTTTTGATTTATTGTAGAAATGAGGTCTTCCTAAGTTGCCCAGGCTGTTTTCGAACCTGTGGGTTCAGGCAATCCCCTAACCTCAGTCTCCCAAAGTGCTGGGATTACAGGCTTGAGCCACCATGCCTGGCCCAATATATATCCATTTAAAACCCGCTTTCCTTTAAAATTTTAACACTTTCAACCTTCTCTTTACATATGTATAACTTTACTACACATTCATTAGTTAGAGATTAGAATAATGAAGACCTTAATGCATATGACATTTAAAGAAATCTTTTTAGCATAATATTCATCAATTGATTCTTACTTTGCTTCAATTTATGGAAATCACTGACTCTGTCCTTGGTAGCCTGCTTTAGTATATCTGTTTGAATTCTGAGTTCACTCTCCATGTTTGAGCCTGGAATGAAACGCTGAAGAGAATTGGAAGGATTCTGTTTTGAAGTACCAGGGTTTCCATTGTGGTTTACGTGTGAATCTGTGGCATAAAAACATCAAATTAAAAAAATGTAATTTTTTTACAGAAGAATTTCACAAGATCTACTTTACAAAAACTAAGCCACATTGTTGTCTAACACTGGGCAAACAGCTTTTTTTTTTTAAACTTTATTCTAATTTTTTAAATCACCTCTTGTAACCATGTGATTTTAGCTGTGGGAAGTTTACTAATCACTCTCAGGTGGGTATCTACACTAATGATTAAAAACATATCCACCAAAAAGATATACAGTAGACACCCAAAGATTAATATAATAATGACACCCATATCTTTTCCTTCTTCCAAACTCCATATTGCTGTTAGAAATCTCCAAAGTCCAGTAAAGCTTTTGAAATTTCTAATATCTAGGTCATCTTCATCTACAGAGTGACTCACAACTGTTGACTCTTGATTTTTTTCTTAGCAGTATCTCCTGGATATAAACTCTCTTTCTCCATCTTCCTTTTTTCCTCATCAAAGTCTTGATTTAGATCCTTATTACAATTAATTTTGGGTTCAGAAACCTCCTGTGCCACTCTGACTCCTACATCTCTCCTTTCCCTCATATTTCTTAAGCAGTTCCCTTTAATCATAACAACTCTAATTTTAGGGAATCATTGTAAAATTGAATAGGTGTTCAGTAGAAAACAAATACACTCTTAAGTATGTAGTAAGAAGTTCAACATAGGTGGGTATAGTAATTCATAGAAAGCCTCTGTGAGATAACTTTAATACATTTTGAAGAAGGTAAATCTGATAAACTGGGCACAGTGGCTCATGCCTATAATCCCAGTACTTTGGGAGGCTGAGGTGAGAAAATTGCCTGAGCCCATGGGATTGAGATCAGCCTGGGCTACATGGGGAGACCTTGTCTCTATAATAAACCAAACAAATTAGCTGGGCGTGGTGGCACATGCCTGTAGTTCCAACTACTTGAAAGGCTGAAGAGGAAGGATTGCCAGAGCTCTGCAGGTTGAGGCTGCAGTGGCTGTGAGTGTGCCACTACACTTCAGCCTGAGTGACAGAGTGAGACTTAGACTCCAAAAAAAAGAAGGTAAATCTATATAGGGTGGTAGAGATGAAAGGGAATGTAGTCCAGAGAGGCACAACAAATAATTCTTCTGTAACAATACACAATACACTAGAAAAAGCGCAGTTTTAGATGATTATTTCTCCCTGAGATTTTACCAATCATTTAAAAATATATAAAATTAAATTGAAGAATGAATGCTATTTCACTATGCCGCTAAATGACAAGTTTTATTCACTATATAATAGTACACGATCAGTAAATTGGTTTTCAAATGGAATTCTAAGAGTTCATACCTGGAGACATATTACGGGAGAGAGGTTGTTCAGTTGGAAGATGGGAGATTACTTGATGACGTTCATGCTGAGAAACTGAAATAGGGGGCTTCTTTAAAGCTACAAGAAAAAATAAAACCATATTATTCCCATTGACATTATAATTTCTAAAAAACCAGCATGAATCCATTTACACTGCATTAATTCTATGATGCATACTCTAATTTTGTAATCCTTGTAGTTGGTATATTAACTCATTCATTTGGGGTTACTGATGGATGCAGTGCATTCATCACAGATTTGGTTAACCAATAAATCTGACTACAATATAAACCCCATGACAGAACAAACTCTGTCTTGTTCTCAACACCTACAACAGTGCCTGGCATATATGAGGAGCTAAACAAAGATCTGATGAATGAATAAATAAATGAATCTCTTTAGAGACAGTGACTTTCATTAGTGAGATCTTTTTATACAGATAGTACAAATTTAAAAATTGATGTTTACAGATTAGGTAAGGCATTAAAATATGCTATTTTTAGTGCTCAAAGGTTAAATAAAACTGATATATGACTAATCCAACAAGTTGAAGTTTCTTTTGTTTTTTGTTTTTTTTTGGAGATGGAAAATTTAAGTCTTGTGCAAAGGGCTTTACTAGCAAAGATGTACATACTTATGGTTGGGGTTTTCTTGTCTCTTAAAAAATGAAGGCAGCAGGAAAGATTATTTTTCACTCACTTTCACTGACTCCTTTGTATCACTAGGCAGCTTAACATGGCAGAAAGGTAGAAAGCAAAGAAAGAAACCAGAGAGAAGAACAACACATATAGGAAAAAAAAAAATAGAAAGCCTCATATAAAAGATATGGTTAGTGACACATTTTATTTCTCTAAGACTTTGGTATGGCAGAGACAATGCTATGTGTTCCTATTTCATTCCTGGGCACAAGGAAAGATCAGCCTTCTTCTTTGGTTAGGGGGAACAAGGACCCTTGGTTCTGACCTTGAGGATGTAGGTGTAATTGAATGTGCCATTTCTAAGTCTGGCAATAAAATCTGCGAAAATCATCTTCAATCACTCTTCTGTTTTTGCCACATCTTCACAGGTTAGATGTGAAGATGGTGGCATCATATAATAGAAAAGGTCACTGCTTGGATGAGAGCTGAAAAGACAGCCACCCAACCTGTGGCTCTCTTTTCATCAGATTGCAAGATGAACAATAAATAAACCTTTATTGTTTTAAGCCACTGCAATTTGAAAGGGTGTCTGTTAATACATCACAGTCTAGTCAATCCTACTAGTATTTATTCTTGGGTTATTTTTATAAACCTCAAAGTTGATTTTAATAATTGTATTTCACTTATTATTACATAGTTTTCTAAACTTAAGGACCCAAGAATTTAAAAATTCACTCTAACAAAGCACACCACTCAAATTTACAGAAAACTGCCTTGTCCTTATAGCTATCTGCAATACCCAACACCCACTTGAGTAAGTAGAACAGCTAAATAACAACAGTCAATGAATGTCTTAAAAGAGCAGCACTTTGCCAAGTTTAACAATACAATTTTGATTTGCTAACAGACTCTGAGAACACCAAACATTTGGTAGACATATTTGGAAAGAGAAGATAGTCATAATCTATAAATTTGTTGATCATTGTTAGATCTTAGCTGGGGCCAGCACTAAACAAACCAGAAGACAAAGAGAAGTGCCTCCATTACTAAACAAGAAGTGATCATTCATGACCTTAGCTTTATACAGCAAAGCCTCCTGCTCAAGAATAAGATTACTATTTGAGGCAAAACTATGATTTTAGATAGACAGAACAAAGCCGGATTTAAAAGAACCTTTATAAAATACTCAGAGGAGTTTAGAACTGACATAGCAACAGTAGAGTAGCACTATGGAGCCCTTATAAATTTAAAAACATATTTTTTAATGACATAAATAATACTTGTTCCTATAGAAAATGTAAAATATAGAAAAGCAAAAAGAAATTAAAATTTAACTGTAACTCCACCACCTAATGATAACCACCTTTACCATTAGGAGAATATCTCTCTGGTGTTTTTCTGTACATTATACTATATACCTTAAAATTAGGATCATATTATATATAATAAACTATCATCTTATTTTTGTTTACTATTTCATACATATTTTTCATGTCACTCCATTTTTTCCTACAACATTCTCAAATGGTGATGCTGAATCAAAACTCCCAATTTTTGGCTAGAGAGAGCTGGGTAAAGAATTGCCACAAGGACTTTAGAGCCCCATAAACTGTATTAGCCAAGCTAGTTAGTAGATAGACTTTTACTACATAGGAAAAAGTAATGTGTGTTCTGTAAATACCTTAGTTTCTATGCTTTTGCTTTGCATTTTGTTTACTTTCCTTGAAAAATTCCTTTAAAAAAATTCCAGCCTTGGCAGGGCACAGTGGCTCATGCCTGTTAATCCCAGCACTTTGGGAGGTGGAGGCGAAAGTACTGCCTGAGTCCAGGGGTTTGAGGCCAGCCTGGGCAACTTGACAAGACCTCGTCTCTATAATAAATACAAAAATTAGTCAGGCGTAGTGGCAAGCGCCTGTGGTTCCAGCTATTTAGAAGGCCGAGGAAGAAGGATTGCTTGAGCCCAGTAGGTCAAAGCTGTGATGGCTGTGAGTGTGCCACTGCACTCCAGTCTGGGGACAGAGTGAGACTCTGACTCAAAAAAATAATAATAAATAAATAAATTCCAGCCTTGTTTTTGTTGAACTAAGGTGAAAGGTGATTTATTTATACCTAGGATAGAGTAGTTAGAGGACTTCCCAGAAGCCAGATGCAATAGTTAATGGTACTGAAACAAATGAAGATCTAGAAAAATGTTAGTGGACTTGGAAATAATAAAGAGTGCTAACCTCACTCTCCAATTTTGTATATGGCTCTTCAGACTTTTTTCTACATATATACAACTATCCTAGAAAGGGGTAAAATAATATTAATCATTCTGAAGCCTGAACATTAAATATAAAACATGTTATAACATTCTTGTTTCTTTGGTCTGTATACGTGAACAGATCTAACATGCTTGTAATTGCTCAACTATGTTGGTCAGTAGGATCATCTCAGCCCTCCAAGAAATATAGCTACATGTCTACAGACACTATTAAGCTGATATTCTCATGTTTCCTGACACTTGGTCTGTGAACTGACAGGCTCCTTTAACCTTTGAGATCCATTTGTTTAATTTAAAAAGAACAACATGAACTTTCACTCTAGCAATTACATAATACCTGGTATTAGATTTACTCCACTCTCAACAATTATAAATATAGATAAAATATTTCCGGCAACTGTTTGCAAGCATTGTACAACCAGCAGCACAGAATATGATCTTGAAAGGAGGGATATACATGAATGGACAGTCATTATGAGCAAAGGAGGCAGAGATCATCAGAGTTTGTCCTGCTAAGGTGGCCAGAATTTATAGAACATAGTATTACAGAGGAAGGAGCTGTGTGGGATGAAACAGGGCAGAAATCTTCACAGAGAGTCCCTCTTGGATCTTAGGCCAAGTCCCACATTGTGTATGTTCCGGGTGAGACGCCAGGGGGTTTAAGAGATAACACCTGCTGCAGGGCTGAGGGCTGAACAAAAATAACAGAGGTCATGCAGCATTAAGTATCTTGGGTATTCAGATAAGATGTTATAAGCCCAAACTTTGAAAGTAGGGAGCATATTCTTGAGTTAAGGGCCACACCTGAAAACTAAAAACAAAATGAAACACACACACACACATGAAGATTTAAGGGAGAAGATAGGATGATCTGGTACAGAAATGGGAATGAAAAAAGAACCAAATGGAAATTCTACAACTGGAAGTACAATATCTAAAATACACTGGATGGGCTTAACAGCAGATTAAACATTGCAGAAAAAGGGGCTAATAAACTTGCAGACAGATCAAAGACATTAAACAAAGTGAAATAGAAAAAGTATTACAAAGAACTAAACAGAACTTCAGTAACCTGTGGGATAATACCCAGTAGCCTAAAATGTATGTAACTTGAGTACCAGAAGGAGAAAAAAAGAGAGAATTTAAAATGTGAATAATATTTTATCTGAATAAATGCTGAAAATAACTTGAATCTGGTGAAAAACATCAATCCATAAATTTAGGAACCTCAGTGAACTCCGAGCAGGATAAATACAAAGAAAACTATACTAAGGTACATCCTAGTCAGACTGATAAAAATTAAAGAGAAAATCGTATAAGTAGCTAGAGAAAAAAATACATACACTAACAGAAGGGAACAAAAGTAAGATGGTTAACTTATGACTAACAATGGAGGCAAGACAGTTGAAACTGCATCTGTAACATGCTGAAAGCAAAAAAAAAAATCAATCCAGATTTCTATAGTCAGCAAAAATGAGAAAGAAGTAAAGATGTTTTCAGATAAACAAAAATTGAAAAATTCATTGCTAGAAGACCTGCACTTCAAGAAATGCTAAAGGAAGTTCTTCAGGCGAATGGGAAATGATAATCAAAATAAAAACTTAAATTTTCAGAAAAGACTTACATTTGTTTCTTCTGTAACAGGGATCTGAAACTTTTTGTTAAACAGTCAGAGAGTGAATATTTTAGGCTTGTGGGCCTTACTAAACTCTGCTGTTCTAGCACAAAAGCAGCCAGAGGCAATACATAACCAAATAAGCATGGCTATGTTTCAATAAAGATTTATTAAAACAGACAATTAAGTGGTAGTTTGCCAAACCCTGTATTATAAGATAGCTAAGAAAAACATCTAATGAACTATAAATATATAACTATATCAAGACTTAACTTGTTAAAAAAAATTTTTTTTTTGAGTCGGAGTCTCACTCTGTTGCCCAGGCACAGTACACTGGCACGCTCACGGCCACTGTAGCCTCAACCTGCTGGGCTTAGGCGATCCTTCCGCCTCAGCCTTTCAAGAAGTCAGAACTATAGGCATGTTCCACTACACCAAGCTAATTTTTTGTTTTATTGTAGAGACAAGGTCTCACCAATTTGCCCGGGCTGGTCTCGAACCCCTGGACTCAGGCAATCCTCTTGCCTGCACCTCCCAAAGTGTTGGGATTACAGGCTTGAGC